TCACAGCTTTTGCCCCAACTTGTTTTACCGCTCGTCAAGCGTGCAATTTCACGACCACTTCAGTGATGATGGCGGCGTGTCTTCCTTCGATTGTGGCTAATGAAATCTTTGGTGATCTGTTGGTATCTAATAGAGGCTTCTGTTTGATTGATGACGGATTCTTGGTTTGCCTTATCTCTAGATCATATTGTGCGGTTGTTCCTCTTTAGTTGTCGTAGCCCTTGCCGTCATGATAGTGTGCCGTGCCTTCTTGATGGTTGTCCTTAGTTTGTTGTCCCCTTGCATCTATGGCGAAAGTTCCTCTTGAGTCTTCCAAAATGATAATTAGACCTCCAAATCTGTAACGCATCATGCATGCGGACTTTTGTTGCTAGAGTCGAAATGAAAAAAATTGATACTTCCATTACAAAAACTGCTCCTGATCACTTCTGAATATCTCACCTTGACCTCTGTTGAATGGGCAGTTTATCTGCATTGCAACAGCTGATGTAAACTGGTGTGCAAGTGAAATGTGAGCACTCTGTCTGATTTGTCCCTATTTGTGAATTTGCATGCAAAGATTTGATTTTTCTTTAGTTGCCGCGCTGCTTGCGTCTATTTCTCTCTTCTTGGATATTACCCCTCTTGAGTCAACGTCTCGTCGGTCTGGACAGTAACATTCCATACTTTTGGTCCTCCACTTAATTGTTAATTGTGCACTTGTGGGTCCTTAGATTTTCAGTTGGTGGGATTGAGTCCTTTGACATTCATGATTTGTGTAATCAGCAAATCATGTTGTCATTACTGCTTAATTATGCTGACACGTCATTAAGAAAAGAGATGTTTTAAGATTGGTTTTGATTAAGAGAACGGCGAAAAAGCTAAGAAATACAAGAAAAATGAGAGAGTCGAGCGAGGACAGCTCGGTGAGTCTCTAGGTGCCACCAACCTAGAGGCGGAGCACGGATTGCGAGTTGCGACCAATTGAGGTTAGGGGACCTCACGTCGCTGGATGGCTAGGCCGCACATCCCCGATTGCTCGATGTCGGAAAAAAAAAATGAAACGGTTGCGCAATTTGAGAATGCGAAGACTCAGATTGCAAAAGCGGTACAATTTAGGGGACTATACTAAGAAGTCGCCCTAAAATACTGTGCTTCGACTGGGTATGAAGCAAAACATATGATAAAGATAAGCAAAGTCGCATCTGAAAAGGACTATAAAATATTTCAACATATAAATGTAAATTCGTGTCGGATAGAGAAACGAAGGAAGAATCTGCGGCGTCCCCGCCACCGGACGATGGCGGCACGTACAGTTGCCGTTGCTCCTAAAATCATAATATGTTATCAACCGATGGTCAAGATGATTAATGTAAAACGAATTAATAAATGCCCATCTTACATTAGAAATTCCTCGTAGATTCGAGTGATAAATTTAACCTTTCGTTTTCCGTACCAATTTAAGTTCATTGTCTAGAATGATTTTAGATCACCTTTACTCTCTCTCTCTCTCTCTCTCTCTCTCTCTCTCTTCTAAATTCCTTCTAGAAGATATTAATACGATACCGAATCGAAAAATTTTGAAATATGCGGGCGAAATTCCAAGATGTTGATGTTCCTTCGTTGCAGAGTTTTCCTCCCAAAGATCATCAAATGCGGGTTCTAGAGTGCGCGCTCCACCGAACAACAACTAGTAAACCCACGACTCGTGGAGCCAAAAGGAGAAAAGTGTAAGAGGACAAGGCGACGTTTGTTGTTAGGAGTTTAATATAAATTGACTTCAAAGTCAATGGTTTAAAGTCCAAGTTTTTTCTTCCCTTGTGTAGTTTGATTATGTGATCGAACGATGAGGCGATCTTCGCGTTTACATCCTATTTTTCGGACGACTATTGACTTCCGGATGGAAGACGCAGTCCACACGACAAAATCCTACCATTCATCGGGGCCTAACATCCGAAAACTGACAAATTCGAACGACCGTCTCCTTTCATCGGAGTCGATTGGTTCTCAAGAAACTTGCGAGGAACCTTCAGAGCACGAGACATCGAGTCTTCATATGTCCGTGTCTACCACCACATAAATCCTCAACAACACTTGCGTTTTCGCAACCGGATTCTCTCAATTCAAAAGGGTTTCTGCAATTCCTCCCTCTCATCCTCCGGAGCCGCGAGCTTGGAAAGACAAGAATTGTTAGCTTACCGTGATGGGAAAGGCCATGTGTTTTCCTTGTGAAGAAAGCTCCGAGTTTCCGGGGTTGTTAATAGCGCTCGTCATTGCTATTGCTCTCATGCTCTCATGCTACATGACTCCGCGCCGGCGGCCTGTAGTTGCCGTCCGTTACTTCTACTGAGAGTTTCCCGAGTTGGAGAACTCCAGGTGCCTTTTCGGGTTCGTTTACGCGGAGACTTTTTGCTATTTCTATCATTTAGAGATGTGAGGATCTCTTCTGATGATTCTCTCTAGTTTGCTGTGTTTTGCTTGTGCTCAATGCTCGACCGTCTGCTCTCGGATTGGTTTCGGACTCATGGTTCTAATTTCGAGTTCTCACTCCATGTTCCTTCTCCATATGAGTTAATATGCATACTTGTATTGCAAGTAGCTGTTTCTCTATGTTTAAGTTTCCGGGGCTCATCCGGGCAAAGTTCGATCATTTCATACAAATCGCTATGATCTCGTTCGAAGATGAATATCAAACCGATCATATTTGTGTTACTGTCAGAAAGAAACTCAATCACATGTCGGACATAAATACATCTAAAGAGAGCAACGATGATACACATATGTGAAGGAATCAAAACCTAACGAACGTATGTTGCCCTGTTTCCCTGATTATGCATTCAAGAGATGATGTTCGTTAGCTTCACGAATCATGAATATTAGGAAAACCATGAAGGAAAGAAAGATGAATGAATTCCGGGCTAAATCATGTATCTAAATCCTACATCGTTCACATCCAAAATATATGATGGCGTCCGTAATTGTAATGTAATTCCTTGTTCAGCACCACCGTCTCAAGAGGGGCATGTCGCGCAGGGCAACATATTACCCTCAAGCCCTCTTTCTCAATTTACCCATGTGCATATACAGCATTGCGATCCATGGATCGTTCTCGTCATCTTGCGCAGAAGCTGTCGGATATTGTTGGAAGGGGTGCGCTGATCGAGTTGGATCTCCATTGCCAGTGAGTATGACGCGCCGTGATCCGCATCATCTATCTGACCGGTGACTGCACCTCCGTTGTTATAGCCCGGGACATAACCTGTAGTAGCATGAGCAGATTCGGATGGTGGAACAAAATTAGAACCACCTGTTTTTGCACGACTCCATTGGTTATTGCCGTGATCACCTTCTCCAGAAGCTGTCGTGCAGTTGACAAGGTTGTTGAAAGGAAAGCCTCGATCGAGTTGAATCTTCATTGCCTGCGATGCGCCGTCACTCCTGTTGATTGCCTCTCCATTGTTATTACCCAGGGCATCACCTGTATTAGTAAGGAGCAGATTGAGACTACAGAACGTAATCAGAACAACCCACTGAGGCGACATTCCATGGATGGCCGATGTTGACGCCCCGGTCGGATTGAATCGCCATCGCCCCGTAGGGCGATGCGCCATAAGTAGCGCTTTCTTCCCATCCAACAATAAGTGTCTCCATTATTCGGACTCGGTACACCAACCAACTTAGCAGGAACGGATTGAGATTGCATAGCCATGTTGGAATAATCGCCCATCGTCGCAGAGTTCTCATCGTTGCTCCGGTTTTGATGATCATCTTCTCTCTTGATCAATCCCCTTTGCCCATCAATAACAATGAATGGGTTGGCCTTCTTCTCAGCTTCTTTGTCTCTGACTTCACATAAAACATAGTCACTTGCCTTCATCTTGTTAAAACAGAAAAACAGAGAGAGATCAGAATTCATCATGGATATTCGTTACAAAGTCCAATTCAAAAGCTAATAAATGGAGGGAGACCACAGTTTTGCAAAGAGAATATAAATAGCAATGTAGGGTGAAAATCCTTTACGTGCAAACTGGAGTAAGAACGACACATGGAATTTGATAATCATGGCTCACATACAAGATAAATTAGGGCAGAACTTGATTCTGATACCATGCTAAAAAGGGAAAAATTACCAAAAATGTTCTAAACATTTTGCATTTATGCCAATTCAGTCCTAAACCTTTCAATTGTACCAATTGAGTCCTAAATTGCTGACATGGACGCCGGTCGTGTCATGTAGGACGGCCGTCGCTGACGTGAACAATTTTCAATATTTTTTTTAATTTATTTTTTTATTTAGCATTTTCTTTTTCCTTTTTTCCTTTTTTTCCCTTCCCTTCTTCCTCCTTTAGTCGATCGCCTGACGTTGGCAATGGCCGACGACCGGTCAGAGGCGAGGGCCGGCGAGGTCTACCTCTAGTGAGGCTCCACCTCACCGGAGAAGTTAAGTCTTGTCATAGGTTTATAACTGAATTGGCACAAAAGCAATATGTTTATCACTTTCTGGATAATTTTCTCCGAGATAGGATATTCATATAAATATAGATTAAGTAGGAATTCATCTTTTTTTAAAGTGTTTATGCTCCAATATTATTTAGCCTCTTGTTAGAGAGCAATAGAGTAAATACGAGAGTATTCGTCTGTCGGCCATTGTTGTAGCTGAAACGTTGACGTTTGACCTCAAAAAAAAGGTAAAAAGAAATTCCATTTATTTGTTTGAAAATTCGCCGAAGATGAATTTCCACGGTTGTTGTTCCCTTTTTTCTTTTTTTTTAGGTTTTTATGGAAGCTCGAGCAAATTCTATCTAATTTATTTATGAAAATTCGTCTAGTTGGCTTCGCTCTTGTGTAATCACTTTATTTGTTTACGCCACATGGCAGTGCCATGCGTGATTTCCGCCATTCAGTCTGCATTTTTCCTTCGCATCGAAATACGAAACCCATCAAGAGATCGTGATTGGAGATTAGCTTATGGACCAGCTTCGTCACGGAATAAAATACCGTGGCCCGAAATTGGACATAGATAATAGCAAAGATCATCCTTTTTGCAAATTTTTCTCCTTAATTTCTAAATAGAAAGTGAGGTGTGTAACCATCCTACTTAAGAGGGCACAGGATTAGGAGATGACTACGAGATGTGAAGATCTCCACACCGGATAGGCAACTCAAAATTACAAGGCTAAGTTGCAAGAAGGAATAAGAAACTCCCAAACTCCATGTATTTTTAGCTAAAGGCTAGACTATAAGCTACATAAAAAGCACATTTTCACCACTTCAAGCATGCTACATAGACTCCTCAGGACTCACTAGAGACCTCAATCTCCCTTAACCCTAGCCACTAATCCCACCTTAGATCACAGCACACCTTGATTAGCCCCATATTCGAACCCTAAATTACACGGTTTCAGGATAGAGCATGATCCGCGTGGTCCTGATAAGGCGCGAGGAGGGGGAGGAGCGCCCCGCCTAGGTGGAGGGACATGACCTCGTTGGTGGACCCCACGAGGTTCCCGCCGATGAAGACGGCCGGCACGGGGCCGCTGCACCCGAGCCGGGCCAGGTACCGCTCCATCTCCGGCCCTTCCGGGTCGAGGTCGATCTCGTGGACCTCGGGCGTCACGCCGAGCTCCCGGAACAGGATGCTCACGGTGTAGCACAGGCAGCACGTGCTCCTGCTGAATATCACCACCCCTTTCTCCGAGGCCAGTCTCATCACCTTCTCCATCGCAAAACGAGGGACAGAAGATTGTGCTTTTTCTATTCCTAGACTCTTTGATTGACTGACTGGGGGAAGTGGGGTTGCACAGAGAGAGAGAGAGAGAGAGAGAGATTAGAGTAATTTGAAGCTACTAAAGATCTACAGTTTGAGAGTGAGGACTGAGGAGGTCTAGTATTTATAGGGACGGCTATGGTGGACTTTCATATCAGTCTCTTGGGGAAATTCTTCTCATGTAGATGCCCCCCAAAAACAACTTCTGATGAAGTTGCTTTTCCGAGCTGAAGACCACAGTACGTACTCAGCATCATGGACGGACGGATTTCATGTATAAAAGTACAGATCAATTGCTGGGCCCAGGAACCCGGAAAAGGTTTGCGGGGTGTCACTTCTTGTAAAGAAAAAGTGGGTGCAATTGATTTTACTTTCAGAGAACAGAAGCTTCTTTTTTTTGCCAGAATCCAGAGAACAGAAGCTTATTAACGAGAAAGAAACGATATCTTTAGATATCATTCAAAGGGAGCATGGACTATAAAGCTAGAATCACTGGTGTGAGTTGGGTATATGTAATCTACTTCTTGTATGCAATGGTTCGGACCAATTACTGCTTACAGCCCTAAAATAAATTTGGACCACTTGATTAGGTTAGGTCATTGTAATTTCCAAACGACACCCGCCGGATTGAATTTCAAAATTTAGGGTGCAATCACTCAACCATAAGTTTGAAGACGGGAATCCTCTACGATTAGGGGAAATCGGTCCGGTCTAGTTAGCCCAAATTATCTAAAATACCCTCATTTTTTATATATAATAATTTACGCTAATTCCTAGAATCGTAACTCCTACTGCTTTGTTTCCCCTCCATCACCAATCTCCTTACCGTCGTGCCTCACAGCTAGCTCTTTCTTCATCCATTGGTCATTCATTGCACCCTGTCGCCATCGATACTCAGCAATAGCCGACCACCTCTTTTCTTTCCTTCATTCTCTCTCGATCTCTCTTGGTGAACAAAAGAGAGCTATAAGGTGGTTACAATGTAGCGGAGGTAACTGGAAAACAAAAATGTTTTGGGCTAAGAGGTGTGTGAAGTCACTTTCTTAGTACTACAGAGTGTAAGCAAATCACCTCAGGCTACAATTTAGCCTCTCAAACTCTCTCACCGTAAGCACGAGGATAAAAATGGAGCATTCAAGGACGGAATACGGTTTTATGTAAGCACCAAGGAATATATCTCAATGTCCACTTGAGAGCTCGTGTCTTTTAGAACAATATTTAATCTAGTGCTCTTCTATTATAACCAATTAATTTCCTTCTGTTCTTCCTACGTGGGACTCTTTTCCACACATATACATTGCAAACTCTCGAACAATAATGACCTCAAACAAAAGGGCGCCTGAGGTCAAGGACCTTTGAATAATTGTGCGCGAGGAAAATTGACAAAAAAGTCCTAAAATATTTTGCAATTATGCCAATTCAGTTTTAAACCTTTTGTTTTGGCCCAATTCAATCATAAACTTTTTGCATTTGTGCAATATTTTTTTTCGAGATTTTTTATTTTTTATTTTTCTTTTTCATTTTTTCGCCACGGTGGCCGGCGAGGGTGGGGTTGCGGGCGAGGCAGCGAGCCTCGCCAGCCACCGCGGGGGAAAAAGAAAAGAAGGAAGAAAATAAAAATAAAAAATATTAAAAAATTACCACATTAGCGTCAGCTAGCATCCACATCAGCGCTGGCCTGCCAAAATTAGCCGGATGGACTGAATTGGCACGAATGCGAAAAGGTTTATGACTAAATTGATACAAAAAAAGGTTTAGCGTCAATGAGAATTATCATAGTTATGGCGGAGGTCAGGGAAGGAGACGGACGGGTCGGCGGCCCACGGGGCTCCCCAAGCAAGATTGGCTTGAAGAGCACTTTTGAACAGGTTTGGACAAGTCCTTTTAAGCTATAAAGCCCGGCCCGACCGGTTTTCGACGGTTCCATTTCACTATCTAGGATGATTCATAAATCTACGAACTCACCGCATGTAAATGAATTCAAGATTCTCAAGGACGTGCACAGCCTGTGAACCGTTCGTTTTGGTCCTTCTGGGGAGATACAAGCTCGCAAAGGAGCGAAAGGAAAAACAAAAAAGGCGTACCAAAAGTTAGCAAAAGAAGAAAATAAAGAAAGGCAGTGTCAATTCACGCGGAGAGATTCTATTCCGACAATCAACTTCTTAGAATCCAATGTCCTGGCAAAAGAAAGTTTGGACAGAATATGAGATGGGCTTTCGGTGGGCGAGGAGATTCTTGCTGTTGCCCCCCACCTACTTGGCGCGCGCACCTTTCGGGGAAAGATACCCGACTCGGGTTCACATGGACCTGGTTTGTCCCGATTATTCGTCATACGTGGATCGCGCACGTGGATACCGTATGTGAATGAGTTCGCTTTACGCCTTTCGATACGTATAAAAGTTGTCCTTTACAAGTACGAGTACGGAGAAGCCTCTCGGAAATTCTCATCACGAGTGTAGCGTAAGTACGTAGGAGGCAGCTTATACGGGCGGAGCTCGTCTCGTAGAACTTTTTAGATGTAAGGATGAAGCCGATGATTATTAGAGCGCGACACGATGACGGATCATTAAGTAAAGATATTTTAGTAAAAATCTAATACCTTAATCAGGATGCACAATACAGTCATTGCATAGCAAAATTAAAAAGGAAGAGTAATACTAATTGAGCTTAGGCCTAATTCAAAAAAAAAAAAACACCAACTTTACCTTGCAATATACTGTAGCAGGGTACTGTAGCAGATACTGTTCATCACTATAGCAGTTATTGTACATGTTTTGAACTTTTTTTTCTCATAAAAATCACCAACTTTCACTTAAATGCCAAACCGGGTCCGAGGCCATGCCGGGTATGATAGAGTTAATTTTGCATGAACTTATAGAGAAATTATTGCTTATTCGCGTAAGTTAAATTCAGTACTCATTACTTTAGATATTACTAAAAAGATACAACATTTACAACTATGTTAATATCTTATAAAAAGTTCCCTCAATTATTTTCTCATCCTCGTAAAGTCAAGTTTACTACTTGCACGAGAATTTTTCCTCCAAACTTTTACTTTTTCTTGGGGTTAATCTTAGATTTTTATTTGGAAAAGAAAAGACATGTTTCATTAAAAAAAACAAACTTCCACATTTATCCCGAACTTTTTTTGACACAAAACCGACTTTGGGGCAAAAGAAAAGACTCGTTTCATTAAATTTGAATGCAATTCGCGTAGGCCACTCGCGGCCCTCGCCCGACTCGGGCGGCCTCGCTCGCCGCGGGCGAGCGAACCTCGCCGAAGCAGCCGCGAGTGCGCCTCCTTTGGGCGAGCGAGGGCGGCCCTCGCCGACTTCAGGCGAGGTCGACCTTCGCCGGCGTCGGGCGAGGTCGACCCTCGCTGAGAGGTCGGCGAGAGCGCTCTCGGCTCGCCCGGAGCGGCGAGGCGGGCCTACGCCCGGCGCCGCGAGGCCGCCCTCGCCGGATCCCCAGGCGAGGCGAACCACGCCCGCCGGCAGCCGGGAGGCCGCCCTCCCGCCGGATCTGCGAGGCCCCCTCGCTTCGGCCCAGCCGTGAGTCCCCTCGCCGGATCCGGCACCTTGAAAGTGGCCGTGAGCCCCCCCTCGTAGGAAGGAAAAAAAAAAAAAGAAAAAAAAAAAAAAAGAAAAAGCGAAAAGACGAAAATGCCCATGTGACTAAATACATTGGGGTAAATGTGTCACAAAAGCAAAGTTAGGGGTTTTGGTGTCACAAAAAAAAGTTCGGGGAGCCAAATGTGTGGATAGATGACAAAGTTTGGGGTTTTTTGGTGGTTTTTCCCAAATTTGAATGCAATTAACATGCAAAAGGTGATTTTAGTATAATAAATAGATTAAATTGGGAAAATAGCACTAAAAGTGTCATAATATTCGTACGGCGCTCACTTCAGTGCCATAACTTTTTTTTACAACCCCTTGAATGCCACATCGGTAAAAAACGATTATTTAAGTGCCTTTGGCGTCATATTCCGACAAAGAGTCCTACATGGCCTTTTTATGAAATTTTTGAGTCCGATGTGTCATTTTTTTTTTTTTAAATTGAAGTCCAACGTGGACAAATGACAAGACCACATGACACTTCCGACTAAATCAACTTCATCTGAGGAAAAAACTGCAGAGTCGACCAATGCAAGGGACGACGATCAGCTGCGCCACCACCTCCGGCCACCACTATAACAGCTTGCCCGCCTTGTGCTGCTCCCTGTTGTCGCAAGCTCGGCACCGAGCATTGATCCCCAAGCCATCGAGCTTTACCCTCCGTGCTTGTGCATTACGTGTCGGATCTGGGCTTAGGATGTTGGATTTGATGTCCACAAGCCCAAATTCGGCCTTGCCGGCCATTAGCAACCTTAGATTTGTGTCGACCACGACCAGCGATGCCATCTACAGTGGTCGTGAGCCTTGAGGAGAGAGACGACTCAGACGAGGATACAAATCATGGGTTGGTCGGTGGGCGACGCCCGGGGGTGACAGCACGAGGACGAGAGTTGGTTCAGACATATAAATACAAGACAAAGATAGATAGACAAAACTTACAAGACTTGATTATTAGAGCGACAGACTCATTTGAACTACTAGAAAAGTGCCGTCCTTTCTCACTTGGGAAAATTGTCCAAAAAGTGCTAAACTTTTTGCACTTTTGCAATTTAGTCCTAAACCTTTCGATTTTGCCAATTAAGCCTATTTGGCCGATTTTGGACAGAAATCGCTGCTATGGACCCTGGTCATCTTACGTGGCCGGTCGCCGCTAACATGGACAATTTTTAATAATATTTTAATATTTTTTCTCGATTTTTAAAATATTTTTTTTTCCTTTTTTTCTTTTACTTTTCTTCTCTTTTATTTCTTTCTTTCTTTAGCGAGGGTCGTCGGGCTCTTGCTGGCCACTGGGTGAGGGTCGCTGGCCACGGCCTCGCCCAGATCTGCCGTTTCTGTAGAAGCAGGGACTTCGACGGCAGGTTGTGGAGAAACGAAGGGTTTTGCTGGTGGGTTCTACAAAGACGTGGGTTTCCGCGTCTTCAACTCCTCGGGTGTAGAGGACATCGATCTATATAGGCCTTTGAGCGTTCGGTTCAGCAGATTCAGTCGGCAAAGAACTCGTCGCATGAACTCTTGAGGCCCTCTAGGCGGCCCAATAATCCGTGCATGAAACACCTATTCATAATTTTGCATCCAGCGTCAGGCAAGATCAATTGCATATATAGATCTCAGCAGCATCCCACGTACGAGCACGTCCCATCTCAACAGCATCTCGCACACCCCACGCAGCATCTCACACATCATTGCTGCTCTCAGCAATGCGAAAACATTCGGCCAAGTGCATATGTATACCATAGCAACGGCATATGTCAATTCGAAGCGATTATAAGATATATCATGTGTGGATGATCGATCGAAAGTAAATCCTTAAATCAGGTGGATCCCATATAGTATCGAGGGTTTATATGCATCGGTTGCTCTTGAATCATTGCGCGTTGCAAATATCCAAGTATTTAATTCGAATCGAAACTAGCCATGACGTACCCTCACGTAGAGTCCGTTGACCATACGGCAGAGACCTTGACTTTTTTGTGTCCTTGTGATGAGTTCCAATTCGCCCTCACTTGGCTGCAGTTCTGCGCAAATTTCTCAGCTCGCCTCCTCGATTTGAAACCCTGTGTTCGCCCCTTGGGAACCGAGTCCATCTGCGGAAGTTGATGAGTTGATACAGGATTCCATGATGCAATAAATTCGTTCACCCATTCATGTGCATGCACGCATATCCAACTTGCTTTGATACCATAGATGTTGGCGGAATAAAACGTACACATCATCTTTGAGGAAAAAGGTGATTGATGCATATGCGTTTCGCTACCATATTCTCTTTTCTGGATAGGGAGGAATTATTAGAGACTAGGGGCGAGAGATACCCACAAAGAAAGTTTCGACTTATCACTTTTTTCGCGCACTCCTGATACCATGCAGTGTAGCGTGCAACATGGAACTACAGCATCTGACCCATCGGATCTCCAAGGAACACACATTTTCGGAGAGACTTCATTAACTATACGATAGCAATCTTATTCAGCTGGGCCTAGTGATATTGGGTTATTCTGATAAACATTTTCCGTCATTTATAATTTCCTTCTCTTGATGGGTGACGATGCCGGAAGCGATGCATTATTGCGAACTTTTATTTATCAGTATACTTGAAGTATATTACCAACTTAGTGATAGTCTTAACATACGTACATTGCATGCGTCGACAAAAAGTAGATCTTTTTCCGCCAAGTTTGTGGGGGGGAAGAGAATCCTATGATAAAGGGATGGCGAGCGTTTCCCCTTTTTCCATGAAACCTTAATTTCCTCGTCTCTATGAAACCCTAATGCTTCTAGTAATTTCCATACCGTAAGATCTTTTTGTGAGAATGAGCTGTAAAATATATTTATGATTGTAATTAGCTAGAATCAAGGATTATAGTTAGCTAGTTTAGAGGATATATTTTTTAAGATTCTTTCTTTTCTTTGTATATATATACGCTTCTAGGTCATTGTAAAATTGATAAGAAGAAATACAGAAAAGTGAGGAACGTGGTTTTCTTCCTCGAAATATCATTGTGTTAACACTTTTCCCATAATCTTGCTCTGGTTTGGAGCAACGCATCCATGCATTAAAACGAAAACTCAAGGGAGAAAGAGCTAGCTCTTGATACAACATTTCATTTCTGTTTGGGATGAAGCTTCTCATATATGGTACATGACAAATGGATTCCATATATGGAGCTTATTTTAATTTACACTGTCTGTTTCGCTAGAACCATATGGCCTTTGCATCTATCAGCATTTGCTTCAAAGACCCGTCAACATGGTAAGATATGACGTCCTTAGCCGAGCCGATGAATCGGCCGCCTATGAACACGGCAGGGACGGATGGGTTACACCCGAGACCTCGTAGCGCCCACTCCATTTCCCTCCCACTCGCTTCGCGATCAAGCTCGTGGATCGCGGGGCTCGCGCCGAGCTCGTAGAAGAGGCTCTTGATGCTGTGGCACATGCAGCACGAGCTCTTAGTGAAGATCACCGCCGCCTTCTTCGATGCCAAATCCTTTACCCGGTCCATTATAGCGAATGCTAAGAGATGACCACTTGGTAGACTGCCAAGGAAAACCTAGAGAATGCTGAAGAACTCTCTAAGGAAGATGAAGAAACTTCAGAAGAGTGTTGAATGTGTGTGTAGGCCTTGCCTTGGTGGACTTGGTGGCTTCATCGCTCCATATTTATAAGGACTGGCGAGTTGGGGGTTGAATTTTTAATGCCACAATGGATAAAAGAGAAAGTTCTTTTAGATATTTGCTTTGGATAAGAGAAACACTTGTCGATGATTTCACTGGGTGATTCGGACACACCATGTGCCACGCAAACAAGTTGCTTTGATTCATCATCTCAACATGACGATCTTCCAATCTCTCGAAGAGTCCGTACAATCAACTGGGAATTGGAATAAGAACAATTCAATAAACAATTATGGGGCAAACACTTTCGGCTCTGGTTGGCAACAAAGTATACGAGTACAGTTACTCTGAAATGTATTAATATATGCTCAATAGGTTCCTTTGTTCCAGGAAGAAAGGGCTAGATTCAAGAGGAATATCACGGTCCACATAACCCTAATTTTATCTATTGGGATAGTTCTTATTTAGCCCCGATATTATGCTCTTTTTGGCTTCAATGTTACACATATATCGTTTGACATTCTTATTTTATTCCACTTTTATTGACACGCACGCCCATATTGCACAAAGTCCGCATGAGCTATCCTTTTCTTTTATCAAAGTTGAATGAATCTATGTCGAGGTTGCGTCATGTTTTCCGTGGTTGCATCGTCTCGGTGATGTGGAGAAAGATAAGGGTTTATCCATATAGATGTCCAACTTTTCTCCTTTTTGGTCCTGCAGGAGCTTCCAGGTGGTTATATTCTTTTAAAGTGAAAGAACATGGAATGGGGAAAAAAGTACAGTATGACATAAAAATTGGAAAAGAGAGAGAGAGAGCAGATTATTCCTCGATTGAGTAACCGCTTTATCCATTATATAATCTTTAGCTGTATTCATATTAAAATACACGTGTGAGTTATGTTAAAAATATCATACATCGAAGAATTGGTATAGCGTGGGATAATTAATGAATCCTAGTGGCCTATAATTCACGAGTTTAAGTTTTTGAATGAGATCGGTTTAACTCAATATGTCGACGGACTTTGACTTTGGTTCTCTCTTAATGATCTCTCCAAATGAAGGTATCGGGTTTATATTGCGCGCTCCAAATAAATGGCATCAGAGTCGATGATTGATTAGCGATCCACTCACATTATATGTATCGGTGTTTGGTGAATTTCTTAAGGAATGAATTTCGTGACCAAAGCGATTTTCGAGCGGCCTTCATAGTTTAATCTAGCGAAAGAGACATGTTGTTCAGTTTGGAGAAAAAAGAAGGAATTTCGTGATCAATGCGATTATCGGGCAGGCTTTCATTGTTCGATTTGGCAAAAGAAACCTGTGGTTCGGGGTGGAGAAAAGGAGAGAAAAGAGACTGGGGATAAAGGCTTACGATCCTCAAAAGCAACAAAATGGAGATTCAAATTGAGACATGTTGATGCAGAAGAATACTTGAATTAAGGGAGAACGGATCTAACATTGAGCTCATATGCAATGGGAAGATTATTGAGATATACATGTGGGTTGTGTTATAAAAATTCAATATCGAAAAGTTGGTGCAGTGTGTAGTAGTTAATATATCATAATTAGCTCATAACTCATTGGCTTAAACTTTTAAGGAAAAACTGCTCTAATTGGATGTATTAAAGGTTTCGACTCTTTATAGCGCGCTCCCAGCAATTTGATTAGTATTTATTGTATAGTAGAGATGTATATCTTTTAGTAAAAGCACTTGGAACAGAAGGTTTCTTTGAATTAACATCAGAGAGATTATTTATCAATTAATAAGTAGTGTGCCAAAAAATACATTAAAAGTATGTATATTTGATCCTATAATTGGACATATAATTGCATGTTGTTAAAGCTAAGACCCTACTCTGTTTGGGAGTGTTAGAAATTCTTTTAAAAGCGGGTTAACATTACTTGCATAATATTTGAGTTTGTGAAAAAGGGGCAATTCAAGGGAATTTACATATACACGAGACTTTATTGAATAGCCCAAATAAGATTATGCAATCAATAAATATTTAATTTAACATATCTCGGTTCGACAATAAAATGTGATTGAATGGTTTGTGCGAGCTAGTATTTTGACAGTTATTTAGGATGTACGAAGTTGTTAGAATGCACATGATAAACAAGTTACGCTGCCTTGTCAATTACTCATTAATTTTATACGCTTACGATTTATCCATTTTGAGGCGGTCCGAGAGAGGAAGACCTGGCTTCGGTTTCATAAGGGTTCGTCTGATCGGTTCAAAGACGGTGACCGGCCAAACCGCATATATGATTTTGATTCTCACTTTAGGTATTCTAAATTCTAATTGCGGTTATTAAATTGTTGATTTTCTGAAAAGTTCGCCACACTACATTGATCTCCTTAAAAAGTCTCCATCATCATTTGGATGGCGTGGAATGAAGCTTGACTTCTGCATCTCTCCTCTGTTGATGGCGAAGAACCAAATCTTCTCGACGTCCAGTTGACCGTATAACAGGGAGAGAGAGGTTATCACTATTTCAGTATTGCCTTCTGAGGAAGGTTAAAGGCCAGATCAAACCTCTCAGATCGACCTCTTCGTAAAGGAGGCGAAGCACAAGAGGGATAGAAAATGAGTATTCTCTATCCTTTCTTTGAATATAGCATACATTGTCGGCTTGCCGCTTTATCTATTCTTAAGGATTATAACCACCCTATCTCTCTAATCAAACGGTTCGTAAAGCCACTTTTGTATTATTCTTTTTACTCCGCTAGAGTATGCTATGATATATCTCTCTCTCTCTCTCTCTTTTATTTCCACTGAAATTTTTCTAGTTCTAGCTTGGAATAGATGCCTTCATATCTCATCCTTGTTGGCCATTATCATCTTCCTCTCTAGAAAGCTGAGAGAATCCCCCTGTTATATCAAGAATATGCCATGTTTCAATGCATACGTAACATTTCCTTGATTGGTGGCTTTATATATATATGCCAATTCATTTTTTGGCACGATATTATGCCCTGTCAAACATATTATGGATCTGACCCAAAAAAAACAAACGTATTATATGGCCATGGCGATGCATGTCCGCTCATGGCCGCCCTCATATATATATATTTTTTGGTAACCCAGGGAACCCCCGCACGGCCGTCCTCATATTTAATCACTTATGTTTGCTATATATCTATATCTTACCTTATGTTAATACCTTATGATTTACCCATGCATTTATGAGGAAATAGTTGGGTTGTTGAGTTTCATTTAATTCTATGTTAGGACGCATAGCAGAAGCCCGACACTCTAAGTGCATTTAATTCTATGTTAGGACGCATAGCAGAAGCCCGACACTCTAAGTGCACTCCCACAATCGCACCGCCATCAAGTGTGAGATGCACGTTAGGAGTCTGTACCAATCATTGTCTGTAATACCATATGCTGAAATATGCACCGTAAGTCTAGTACCTTACTTTTGGATATCTCTAAGAGAAAAGCCCTAGTTTAGGCCCCTTGATATGTTAAAGATAACTAGAATACATTAATTTCTCAACACCATAAAGTTTGTAGGACACGGGACTTTGCCTAATGCCCTCTCATATGTAGGTTCACCCCATCAATACGTAATCGCTAAGTATTTACTCATGTCAGAAAAACATTAAACTAATCCGCTTCCTCTCTTTGCTCCATCCTCGACCTCTCTTTGCATTATCAACTCTCATTTGATTATATACCAAATTTATTTATTTTTATTTATTAATCAACTCTCGTTATTGATTACCAAATTTTATTCGTTCCTTTTAGAAACGTCTTAAATTTATCAATTCTTAGATGAATTTACCAACTTAATGAATTAATCTCATATGAAAGAAAAAAAAAGTATTATTCAATAAAAGTATATGCCGAGTCAAATAAAATAGTACACGCATCTAGTGATATGTTAGGGTAGATATGTGTGGAGTGAAGTGTCAATCTATCAATGGATATATCACTCATTTGACCTATTAAAGTTAAGTTTCATTGAATATGATAATCAACAAACGAGCTTGGACCCAACTTGGATTATCACTTGGTGGAAACTAGAACTTGGTTTGATTGAGAATCATATCGATTCATTCACCGAAAATAGTTATCCCAAATATCTTTTAATAGACTAAAGCAATTACCAGATCTTGTGGGTTGAAATCCACATCTAAGAACATCGATAGCTCACATATCCTATATTGTGATTGGCTATGTCTATCTTATTGTTAGAGATATATTTAGGATATTTTGTAATTATGTATATTTTCCTTAATTGGTCCTGATTTGTTGGTTTAGATAGTTGTAGTGTAAAGCCTACACTACAAAAAAACATGTAATTTGCGACGGAAATTTTTCGTCGCAAATTTTACGACGAAATTTGCGACGGATTATATTTTCCGTCGCAAATTTGCGACGGAAATAAAAAACCGTCGCTAATTCCGTCGCAAATTTGCGACGAAAAAAAAAAACAGTCGCAAAATCCATCGCAAATTTACGACGGAAATAAGTTTGTCGCAAATTTGCAACGGAAAATAAATCCGTCGCAAAATTTTCGTTGCAAATTTCCGACGGAAAAAAAAACCGTCGCCAAATCCGTCGCAAATTTGCGATGAAAACGCACGTCCGTCGCAAATTTGTAGTTTATTAGCCCGTGATATTCCAGCCCTATCTCTCTCTCTCGCTCTCTCTCGCTTTTCTCCCTCTTTCATATGTCTGAAATCAGCAAAATTCGCGCACGCATATATTAATCTCGGTGAAGCTTTTGTACCGGTAAGTATCATTAGCTAGCTTCGTGACTATTCATCGTTGAATTGTAATTTCTTTTATTTTATATATGTTTATGTTTGTTTTTTTTTCGTATCTGCATCACCGGTTGAACGACCGTGGACACCTCGCTGGCCTTTGGATGAGGCAGAACGGCCATTTCCGTCGCAAATTTGTGACGAATAAGTGAAAATTCCGTCGCAAATTTGCGACGGAATAAAGGAATCTGTCGCAAATTTGCGACGGATGAATTACATTTCCATCGCACATTAAAAATTATTAAAAAATGATTCTTCAGTGATTATTCTTTTTGGGTATGTGTCTAATTGAAGGTCTCGCAATCCAAGTGGACGTTGCAATTCTCATCAAATTGACCACTTTCTCCTACCAATATTTCAATCAAATATTTGGGTAAGTCTTCTTTACATGGT